CGGAGCCGCCGGGCCCCCCTGTCCCAGCCGTCCCGGAGAGCTGCGCGCTGGGGCTGAGCCCCAAAGGATCCCCCATCCCCGTGTGCCTCTGGGGCTCTGCGCCCCGTGGGCGGCATGCTGGCTCTCCTGGCTGGACTGCTCTTCTCCCTCGCCTCCGGGGCCAGCTGGCGGGCAGTGAGGGGCCAGGAGAGCCCCCCGGGCAGCCGCTTCGTGTGCACCTCCCTGCCGCTGGACGCTGCCCCCTCGGGCTGCCCGCTGCCCCCGGTGCCCATGCAAGGGGGCGCCTTCCCAACCGAGGAGGAGCTGAAAGCCACCGTGCTGCAGCTGCGGGAGACCATCCTGCAGCAGAAGGAGACCATCGGCAACCAGCGGGAGACCATCCGAGAGCTGACCAGCAAGTTGAACCGCTGCGAGAGCTCCCCCGGCCCCGACGGCAAGCCCGGAGCCGGGGGCTGGAGGAAAGAGTTGGGCAAAGGCAAAGACACCATGGGGGACCTGCCTCGGGACCCTGCCCAGGTCATCGACCAGCTGAGCCGGACCATGCAGACGCTGAAGGACCGGTTGGAGAACCTGGAGGTAGGAGACGCTCGGGGACCCGCCAGACCACGGTTGGAGGGGAGCTGTCCCTGGTGCTGTAACCCGAGCGGCGTGGCTGTGTCTGGGGGTTGAGCGCTTTTCACCCGAGGTGCCATCTCCGCTCCAGGTGCCAGGTCGTAGCGACTAACCCCTGTAGGGAAGCGGGGGGAGGGAAGAGGGTGATGTCACCCATTGAACTCACAGGGTCTCTCAGGAGGGCAATTAACAAAGTTGCTGGGAGTCCCAGAATGAAAGGAACAGGCATCACTTCCCAGCAGCTAGGAATGGTTCTCGAAGCCGCTTGGGTGATAGAATCACAGGACACTAGAACTGGAAGGGACCTCCAGAGGTCATCAAGTCTAGCCCCCTGCCCTCACGCCAGGAATCCTCTTTAGTCAGTTTCTGGGGCAATAAAATCTATAGTCTCCTACTCCCTTTTCTTGGGCGACCCCAAAACTATACCCTAGTGTGGTGAGAGGGGAAAGGCGCCTGCCTTTTGTGTGAGTACTTGATGCATGCACTGTACTTGGTGAGAAAATGGGTACTTTGGACCAGCAATCTGAAATCCAAGCCCTTGTGCTGGCTACATGGTAAGCTGCTAATGAAGTCCTTATATGCTGGCTTTAAGAGGAGGAGAAAAAACCCAAGCTGAGCCAGCAGGAGGGACTGCAGTGAATTGATTTTCTTGATGTATTTAATGGGAAACAGAGTATCCTCTTACTATGTCCCAGCCCTTAAAATGCACAGGAAGAGATTTGTGGGTTTTATTTTCCTGCTCTTAGGAGCTTAGGATCCAGTTTTAGTATTTTCTAAATCTCCACCGCACGGCTGCCGAGAATGTGTCGGGCAGGACTTGGAATGTGATGCTGAAATTCCGGCCCGCACGACCTTGACCTAACGGCGCTAAACAAAACGGGAAGGGCCTGGGGAAAGCAATGTAGCGCGGGTCATAACGACAAGACGATGCTTTCCTGAGAATTGGTCTCAGGTGACTGCAAGTCATTCCAGTAACTGCACACATACGAAAGCTGATTCAAAGCCCATAGAAACCAGTGTAGAGGCTCTCATGGACTTCAGTATGCTTTGGATCAGGCTCACAGTTAGACATCATACTTGTGGCAATGTTTTGCTTGGATGGAAACTTTCCCCCGCAGTGTTGTTCTCTCTCCTCCCCCCTAGACCAGGGCAGAATTCAAGGTATTTTGTCCCACTCCCCATTTTGATGCATATGATTCCCAAGAGGATTTTTAAATGATTTATTAAAAGTTCATGTCCATTCAACTATTACTTGCTGTCTATTAACTAGAATGGCTGCTGGAGCAGTTTTAATAATAGATTCATGGCAGAGGCTTTTCACATTTTTTCAAGGCACTTCCCCATTGGCTACTTCCCCACATAGGTTACAGTGCTGGGGCCTTGCCCACTGCAGGAGGTGAGGGTCTTCTGGAGTCACACCAGCTATGTGTTGTGGGACTGTCCATAGAACAGAATATGATTTATTTGGCTAGAAATAGGCCAGAGGGGTAACGGATATCTCCTTAAAAATTGCTTCCCAGAGCTGTGTTTTGGGGTTTAGCCTGCCATCTTGGAAACTCTCTGATGCATGGAAAGTTTGGTTCTCTAGAGCAGTGCTTGTAGCCAAATGACGTGTGTTGCCTAATGGAAGGGATAGAAGCTTGGTACAGTGGCTTGGCTGACCTGGCACCTAGAGAGCAGATAATGTCTCAGAAAAGATGGACCTCAGATATATTTAAAAAGCTTTGCTCTGACTTTTTAGAAATCTTTGATTAATTCCTAGCAGATAGAAACGGAGAGGCCATTCTTCTCTCCCCTCTGCCCTGTTCTTTCCTTTCCCTTTCCATTCCTTTGCTTTTGTCCTCTCTCATTTTCCTGTTATCTTTGGAAGAGAACATTCCATAAAATAAAATTTAAAAAAGTCTGCTTCTTAGGGAAATCTCTGAAAACTTCCTGTTCAGGATAAAATCCAGTCTCTTATTACCGGTATACTGCTGTTCATTTGAGAATCTCTTGATAGCATTATAATTTTAGTGGGGGAAAAGGAAAGGTCCTACAATAAAATGCCCCTAGAAGACAAAACTCTTGGTATCTAGCAGTAATTTAAGTAAATCTAGTTTTTTTTTTGTTTAAAGACTATATCCCACTTTGCAAACTTCACTTTCACAATGGGTCACTTTCAGAGTTGATTTGATGAAATATCTGACTTTTTGTTTAATAAATCATACACTATTTACCAAATTAAAATACTCAACATGTCCATTTTGATTACTTTACAAGTAGGTTAACATTTTCTTGCTTTAATTTACTCAATTTCTAACTAACCTAGTAATGTCATTTTGAATTAGTTGAATAGATTATTTTAAAACTATGCAACATGTAGCTATTTGATCTACATCAAGCTTAGTTCTACAAAATACAGGCAAGAAGCCATCTTTCTTAAATGTATTAACTGTCAGTGATATGAAACAAGGGAAGCATGAAATAAGTGAATCATTAAACAAATACATTGGTTTTGAAGAAACCAGTCTCTTTTTGCTGACCTGATGAAAGCTTTGAACATGACATGTTGTTTTTTGCCTTTCTATTATGCTTTCAGGAGAGCTTAGTCTTCTGGTTTGAAATCTGCCCCCCCCCCCCCGGTCACAAGAAAACCCACATTTCACAATTTTTGCTTTTTGAGAAGTGGCATAAATTTTTTTTCTTTTTCCTTGAAGCACCAACTCCGAGCCAATGTGTCATATGCAGCCCTGCCTAATGAGCTTCGAGAGATGCTTCAAAGGAGGCTTGGAGATCTAGAGCGCCAGCTTTTAAGCAAAGTGGCTGAACTGGAGGATGAGAAATCCCTGCTTCATAATGAAACTTCCGCCCATCGGCAAAAGACAGAATCAGCCCTAAGTGCATTGCTGGAAAGAGTTTCTGAATTAGAGAAAGGTAATTTGGAAACAGAACTCAAAGCCTTCCGTGTATGTTGTTTAGTTTCCTCCCTCTTCTGCTGCCGCACTAGTACTCTGCCTCTTAAGAGACAAAGCATGGTCTCATGCAGAGGGACTGGACTATCTCCCTGGAGATGTAGGTTCAGTTCCTCCCTCTGTCACGCACTTACTTAATGAGTCACTTTGTACAGAGAAGGTTCCAGCTCTAAACTGGAATAAAATAACACGGTGGGGTTTGAAGACAATGGGTGTCCAGAATGTTATGCCCTGCCTTTCCAAACTGCCAGGTAGGGGCCACACCTCTGCTCCTGCCTGGGGAGGCTGGAACCATGCAACCTCCTCCTCTCCCCTGGTGCTCAGGGAGCTGCACTGGGTGCACACGCCCCTTACCTCTCTTCCCTAGTGCTCCTGGGAGGCGCTGCCCCATATCCTCCCCTGGGGGAGGGTTGCACTAGGCACACTGCCCTGCCTCCTCCTCTCCCCATCAGGGGCAGGGCTTCAGCGAGGAGGGGGTTGTATGTGGGGCTGGGGGCTTGTCCCCCCAGCCTCAGCTGCACCAACTGCCCATCCCTTAAAGTTTGCTGCATACCCAGATATCTACAGATATGGGGACCATATATATGGAGAAGGAAAAAAGTGCTCTCCACACACTTTGTTAGCTCACATTATTTTCAGTGCAGTTCAAGTTAGAGAGTACAACTTGCCTACTGTATAGGCTGCTACAGCTAGCTTCACCCTCTAGATCTGCAGCCACTAATTATGCCACTAGGTCCCCTCCACTTTTTTGTTGGATACGCCATTGAGACCAAACAATTGGTTTTCATTAGTGGTGAATAATACTCTGAGAATCTGCAGACCTTGAAGCATATGTCCTATCTCAAAAGTGCAACCTTCAGGTTTTACAGTGGATTACATGTGGTGCCACTGGGGGACACTTAATCCTAATCATTTAATCAGATACTGAGATTCATTATTACTGGGAAACTGCATGCCTGGGTACAGTCCATTTATTTAATGTACAAATGCATGTGGCAAGCAAGTACAAAATAAAACTGTAAGGACAATGTACGTTCAGAGAATTGCATCCTATTAGATTACCCTTAAATAATCTGTATAAGAATAGCAGGTTTGGGTAATGGTTTGCTTGGGTGAATGAGCTGCCTGCCTTAAAACAAACTGTAGTGGGCACACTTTCAAAAATGTGCAGACACACACATCTCATGAATTTTAAGATACAGGCTAAAGGATCCATGTGTTTAGTACTGAGCATAGACTTTTCATTTAAAAAGAATGTGCAAAAAGAGAAGTATAATTGTTGGCCACTTAATATTTCCCCAGTAAGCTTGGGCAGTGAAACCTTCCAAGTTAACAAGTTTCTCTGGAATCTTTTTATACTCATTCAAGTGCTTTGAATTGCAAACTCACTGATACTTGTAATACTGGCCTTGAAATAGCATGTCCCTGTAGGGCATAGGTCTTGTGTGTGTGAGAGAAGTAAAAAAGGGTCCAATATGCAGTGCTTATAACTTTGTGAGACTAGAAAGAACAGAGAGAATGTTATAAAAAGATGCTTTCCCAAAGATTTCTAAGGAGCTGAAGTGTTTGGAAGACAGGAATTGGGAGATAGGGGTTCTTATCCTGGCATTGTTGTTGCTTGTCTTTGAGATTTTGATGAACCTCACTTAGCCTTTCCTGGGCAGAGCTTTTCTCCTTCTGGACAGTGAAGGATAATACTGCAATGTTTAATTCTTGGGGCTGTTGAGAAATGCAGTCCATTAATGCTTGCAAAGCCCTTTGGGATGTGCTAATGAATGGAGCAGTACAAGTGCAAAGTATTAATAATTTATATATTTCAAATGCTGATCCATTTGTAATCTATTTCTGGGCAATAGATTGTTCAACATCCACAATGCTATAATCTCTCAGTGGACTTAACATTTGTCCTAGAAAAAGGCTGCTCTTTTGTAAAGGGTGGCAGGAGACTATGGAAGAGTTTCATGACTGGCTTTTAATTTGTACTTGGAAATAAAACAACGAGGAGTCCGATGGCACTTTAAAGACTAACAGCATTTTTTAGGTCATAACCTTTAATAAGATACAGCTCACTTCCTCAGATGCTTGGAGAAAAGAGAAAAAGGAAGGGATACAGAGATGGGAGTGTGACATCAGTGCTAATTTAATCAGGGTAGTCGTGGCTCATCTCTAACAGTGATGGGAACGTGAGAATACCGGAAGGGGAAATTATCTATTGGTAATTACTTATAGGTAATTTCCCGTTCAGGTACTCTCACCTTCTCATAACTGTTGGAGACAAGCCACATCCATTCTGATTTAATTAACACTGATGTTACACTCCTATCTCTGTATCCCTGCCTTTTTTCCTTTTCTCCAAGCATCTGAGCAAGTGAGCTGTATCTCACGGACGTTTATGTCCTAATGCCCTAATAAATTTGTTAGTCTTTAAAGTACCACTGGACTCCTTATTGTTTTTTGCTGAGACCGACTAACATGGCGACCCCTCTGAAACCTTGTATGGAGCTGTTACAGATGATTGTGAACTTGTTTATCAGGTGGGAGTAATGAGCACCTTGGAGCTGTGATTTCTAAAGCGCACTAACATGTAGCTCATTAATTGGTCTGTGCAGATCCTGCTGGTGCACACTCCTGGCTCCTTAGGGCATTTTAACATTGTGTTCTGTAAAAATGCACTAAGGAACATTTTGTTAGACTGCAAGCCACTATCTCTTACCATGTGTATTTAACCTTGCACCTACCATTAGAGCTGTAAATGCCTGTTTCTTTGTGTTAGTTATTCTAGACAGGGCTGGTAGCAACACCTATAGTAAAAGCTGCCTGACATTCCCCTACCCTTTGCCAAACAATTACCATTTGGGGTTGGAAATTATCCATGTTAGTCTGAATGGCTTTGGCTGCAGTTAAAAAAAAATCAACCCTAGGTAAGATTGAGGGTAGGGAAAAAGATTGAGAGTAGGGTTAAATTCTAGCTCTAGCACCCCATGCTTTGGAGAAGAGGCTTGGCATTTGTGCCAAGGACATGCCTTTTGAGATCCTCTGAAAATCTGGCCCCAAGTTCTAAATCTTTGAAAAATCAGTTTGTACATGCTAGCGGAGACTTCTTTGATTTGCAGCAGTTGAATTTTTGAAGGTACCATCTTCATGGAGCATGCACAGGCCTTGGCACACCTTCTGCCCAGACTGTGCATGCACTATCCTCAGAGAAACTGAGCATGCTCCAAACCCACAGTGACAGGGGTGAAGCTGGGCTTTCCCTGTAATCATTGCTCCCTGCTGCTTTGAGCATGTCTGGGGCCAGGCACGGAAACTGAGAGCAGAGAGCCTGTCTCTCCGGTGCTCTTCTGCTCCTAACAAAGGGAACAAGGAGGAGGAAGCCATGTAATCTACATGCATAGGGGGACAAAAACCAGACTAGAGGAAGAGAAAGGGTAGTTTAGCGCAAGGGGCCTGAGTGGCTCTGGAAGGAGGGGAGAGAAACCAAGATCAGGTGGGCAAGGAGAGAGAGTGAGAAATAGGATGGAGAGGGAGAACAAAAAGCAGTTGGTCAGAGGAACACAGACTGGGGCTGAGAACCTGTCAGGGAACTGGAAGTAAGAGGGAAGAGGGAACGGAGCTGGGAGGAGTGTGGGATAATGGGGATTGGCTGGCCAAGAGACTGGAGCAAGAAACTGCAGAGGATTATGGGTAGGAGGAATACTGAGATTGGATAATGAACCTGGAGAAGGAGACTGGGCCTGGAAAACAGGGCAGGAGATAGACCAGAAGAGGAGTTGGAAGGGGGGAAGAAGTCTGGGCAAAGAGACTAGCACTAAGTGTGGGGAGGAAGAGAGATGTGGGGTAGGGGTGACTAAGACTTAGGCCTGACTGGCCAAGGACACTAGGACTGAGATGAGAATATTAAGTAATGGAGCCTGGGAATGGTAGGCAAGGAGAATGAGCCACAGGTGGGCAGAGACAAGAATAGGACAGGGAAGGGGCCCAAGCTCCTGTGGGAAAGGCACAGAAGAGTCTGTGCCCACTAAAGCACAGCCCCCTCCAGAGCTTAGAATGGAGCTCAAGATTCCTGAATCTCGTCATTCCCCTTCTGGTAGCAAAAATCTGTGCTGGTCCACATAGTGCAGGGGTTGGCAATAATTTTTGCACAGGGGCCATTCCAAGCATTTTGCTAAGGCTGCACTTTCTGTTCTATTAATGGAGGGAGTGTGGGGTCTGGGATGGAGTTTGGCTGCAGGAGAAATCTCTGGACAGGGATTAAGGTGCAGGAGGGAGGCAGGATTTGGGATGGAGTTTGGGTTCAGGAAGGGCTTGTGACCTGGGGAGGGGTTGGGGTGAGGGAGGACGTGCCAGGTACAGGCTATGTCCATGGCTGAGAGATGCTTACCAGCATAAGTGGCTCCTGGCCGGTGGTGCAGCAGGGCACTCAGGCTGGCAGGCTGCCTGCATACCATGTGGCCCTATGATGCTCACAGCTGCCAGCTGTTGGGGCAAGCTTGTCTCTGTGCACCCTTTGGGGGAGAGGACAGCAGATCTCCATGTGCTGCCTGCACTTTCAAGCACTGCCTCTGAAGCTCCCATTGGCCAGAAACTAGCCAATGGGAATTGTGAAGATGATGCTGGGTGTGGGGGCAGTGCACAGAGACCCGCTTCCCCTGTCCCAAAAGGTGTGTGCAGAGACACCCCTGCCAGCAGCCTCCAGGTGTGGTGCTTCTGGGAGCAGTGTGGTTGGGCCTGTGGTAGGCAGGCAGACAGCTTTAGTACCTTGCTGGGCTATAGAACATTTTCCTCAGGCCTTGGGGTGGAGGGTCATGGTGGGCTGAAGGAAAATATTTATTGGGCCAGTTGTGGCCTGTGGGCCATATTTTGCCCACCCCCTGACATCGAGAATGATTCCTAATATTGCTTTCAGTTACTTTATTAGCACAAAATAAAAGACAGGACTATGCAGCACTTTAAAGACTAACAAGATGGTTTATTAGGTGATGAGCTTTCGTGGACCAGACCCACTTCCTCAGATCAAATCATGGAAGAAAATTGGCATGACCCTATATACCAAAAAATAGAAAATACCAATTTTCTTCCACAATTTGATCTGAGGAAGTGGGTCTGGTCCACGAAAGCTCATCACCTAATAAACCATCTTGTTAGTCTTTAAAGTGCTGCATAGTCCTGTCTTTTGTTTCAGCAAGACCAGACTAACATGGCTACGTCTCTATTACTATTTTATTAGCACAAGTGGCAGAGGGCTGTGTGGAGAATCTAAAAGTTCCCCACTGATTATGATGCCAAGTGGTAGAATTTCTGGGTATTTATTCCAGTTTGCTTTTTAAAAAATCCTAGGAAATTATACACACAAGCCCATGTTAAAAGAACATTATTGAGGTTGCTAAGTGAAGCACACAAGTTAGGAAATGCCAGAATTAAGGTTGCACAGGCAACCCTAATTTGGCCCCCTTGTGCATAGCGTGCTAGGATACGGTGTTTAATTACATGTTCACACGCTATTTTTTCCACATGATCCTTTCCTTCTTCAGTGCACAGACTAGACCTTCTCTGGGGATGGATCAGGGTTGGGGAGTGAAGGATCCTGTTACAGAAATTAGACGATGTGAGTGTAAATGAAGCGAAGGCCTTCAGGAAAAATAAAGACAGTATCATGGATAGGCCAATTATATGTTGCCCTGCAGAACACAGTTGCTGTGGATTTTATCCTTGGTTTCTATGTACAGCTGGGCAAGTCAAACAAGCTTATCATAGGGAGTAATAGAATTATTTCCCTCATTTTTTCTGGGCACCCAAACGGACTCTGGAGGTCTAATTAACAAAATCGAGGAGCTGTAAATGAAAAGCAATGGGGACTGGACTTTTAAAGTGCTATATAATGCTAAATATTAGAGCCCATCAAAAACATTTTGACATGATTTTCCATTGGACAATACCATTTAGTCAAAAAACCAGTTTCCAATCAGGCAGATAAGATACTCCGAGAAATCTGGTTCTAGTCACTTCAAGTCAGGCTCCCAAACTTAGTGAATAATCTTCCACTTAATCTCTCTGTGCATTTGGTCTTCATCATGAAAATGCAGATAACGAGACCTCTTCATTTTGCAGGGCATTTGTAAAGCTAAATTAATGATTGCGAAGCACTCAGATACTATAGTGACAAGTGCCATAGAAAATAATTGGCCCTGGAGAAAATAATAATTTCTTATAGCTGCCATTGAATAAATAAGGCCTAGGCCACACATTGGAGAGAGAGGAGAATACAAAATATTGAATGGCTGCTCGTTGAATACTGTCCGTACTGTTCACTGAGTGAAGCGGGAGTCCTTTGAAAACATAGTATGTAGTCATATAATTAAAGACTGTATCAGAACCCAGACATACAAGGGAGTCAAATTCAGGTTGTCTGTGCAACTTGCATATACTTTGTGTAATTCCTTAAATCAGTAAAAGTTAGAAAATACCATGTCTTAACTATGACTTCAGATTTAGATAAGAAGAGATTGTTATTTAAAACACATGTAAAACACATTGCTTTTTCTTTTCCTATAACCCTAGGTAGCAGTGCATTTAAATCACCTGATGAATTCAAGGTCTCCCTCCCTCTCCGCACAAATTATTTATATGGGAAGATCAAGAAGACTCTGCCAGAGCTATATGCCTTCACTGTGTGCTTGTGGCTGAGGTCTAGTGCTTATCCTGGGATTGGAACACCGTTCTCCTATGCTGTCCCTGGGCAGGCTAATGAAATTGTGTTGATAGAGTGGGGGAATAATCCAATCGAATTGCTCATTAATGACAAGGTAAGAACTAACTATTTTTCCTTCTAGATTATACAGCCCAGGAAAAGGTGTTCTTCTGCACTATAAAAATCTCTGGTAACTCTTTCTATTGACTTCAATGGAAGCAAGATCAGGGCACCAAAGTTTAAAATAAATTCACACACTTTCAGAGAATGGCTGTGAATAAAATTAGGTGATGCTTTTGTTCATGAGAACAGACAACATAGTATTGCTGGATATGCTTAACCTGTGCTTGTACAGTGAAATTACAAACATTTAGATTGGGGTGGGGAACCTTTTTGGGTCGGGGGCCACTGACCAACAGAAAAATCAGTGAGAAGCAAAAAACAAACAAACAAACAACAACTCACCCCAAACCCTTACTGTCGTGGCCCACAACAGAGGATAAAGACATTCCCCACATTCCCCTCACACACCAGAGCTTAGGAGGGTACAGTCTAGTGGATTCTGTATGCTCCAACCCCATGGTGGGACAGCGGGGAGGCTGGAGTGCCAGCGTGGGCTCCCCAATGCTAGGAGGAGGGCCATAAGGCTTGGAGGCCGGATCCAGGCAAGCTGGGGACTGCATCCAGCCTCCAGGTCTGAGTTTTCCCACCCCTGAATCATACAGACTAGGTCTGAATCTCATTTCATTCAAAGCTAAATCAGCTTGGCACCTGTATAAAGGAGATCTGAGTGAAACCAATGATGATCTTTTAAAATTAATAGGAATTGAATCTACCAGAATGAACCTGGCATAAAATTAAATGGACAGCTAAGAGAATAAGGCATATGTCATAGAATCATAGAATACTAGGACTGGAAGGGACCTCAAGAGGTCATCGAGTCCAGTGCCCTGCCCTCATGGCAGGACCAAATACTGTCTAGACCATCCCTGATAGATATTTATCTAACCTACTCTTAAATATCTCCAGAGATGGAGATTCCACAACCTCCCTGGGCAATTTATTCCAGTGTTTGACTACCCTGACAGTTAGGAACTTTTTCCTAATGTCCAACCTAAACCTCCCTTGCTGCAGTTTAAGCCCATTGCTTCTTGTTCTATCCCCAGAGGCCAAGATGAACAAGTTTTCTCCCTCCTCTTTATGACACCCTTTTAGATATCTGAAAACTGCTATCATGTCCCCCCCCCCTCAATCTTCTCTTTTCTAAACTAAACAAACCTAATTCCTTCAGCCTTCCCTCATAGGTCATATTCTCTAGACCTTTAATTATTCTCGTTGCTCTTCTCTGGACCCTCTCCAATTTCTCCACATCTTTCTTGAAATGCGGTGCCCAGAACTGGACACAATACTCCAATTGAGGCCTAACCAGCTCAGAGTAGAGTGGAAGAATGACTTCTTGTGTCTTGCTCACAACACACCTGTTAATGAATCCCAGAATCATGTTTGCTTTCTTTGCAACAGCATCACACTGCTGACTCATATTCAACTTGTGGTCAACTATAACCCCTAGATCCCTTCTGCCATACTCCTTCCCAGACAGTCACTTCCCATTCTGTATGTGTGAAACTGATTGTTCCTTCCTAAGTAGAGCACTTTGTATTTGTCTTTATTAAACTTCATCCTATTTACCTCAGTCCATTTCTCCAATTTGTCCAGATCATTTGGAATTATGACCCTATCCTGCAGATTAGTCGCAACCCCTCCCAGCTTGGTATCATCTGCAAACTTATCTGCATGTCCATAGATTTGTTTTGTTTTTAATATTCTAGCTATTTAGTCTTTAATTTATGTCAAACTCTTTCAATTGCTGCTTTTGTCTATAAGAAGTTCAATTGTCTGTGAAGTGTCAAACATGCACTGTAGAATCAGGCCTGAGAAGAAAAAGAAATACTAAAACACAACTTTTAAAGATTTTTAATCTTAAATATCCTGCACATCTTTCTCTTTTTTTCTAGTTTGAGCTAGCTGTTAAAAGAAATTGATGTAGAATGTGTAAACCTCAAATTAAGTCATTAAGCTATGTACTTGAGCAAAAATTAGATTGTTCAATGATGGCTGAAGTGAAGTTTATCAAAACTTGACATCAGACACTGTACTTTGTGGGATAGTGATAGAGATGCAGCCGTGTTAGTCTGGTGTAGCTGAAACAAAAGACAGAACTATGTAGCACTTTAAAGACTAACAAGATGGTTTATTAGGTGATGAGCTTTCGTGGGCCAGATCCACTTCCTCAGATCAATATGTGGAAGAAAATCAGCACAACCATATATACCAAAGTGATACCATCAAAAAAAAAGTGAACGCATGTGAAATTGACAAATCAAATTTTAGAACAGAGTGGGGGTGAGGCGGGAAGGTTAGTGTCTGTGAGGTAATGACATTAGGGGTGATAATTGGGGAAGCTATCTTTGTAACAAAGACTCTAATTATCTCACCCATTACAAAGATAGCTTCCCCAATTATCACCCCTAATGTCATTACCTCACAGACACTAACCTTCCCGCCTCACCCCCACTCTGTTCTAAAATCACATTTGTCAATTTTATATGTGTTCACTTTTTTTTGATTGTATCACTTCGGTATATATGGTCGTGCCAATTTTCTTCCACAAATTGAATTGAGGAAATGGTTCTGGCCCACGAAAGCTCATCACCTAGTAAACCATCTTGTTAGTCTTTAAAGTGCTGCACAGTTGTGGGGGGGTCTTAGTCTCAAAACACCTAATCCCTGGGAATATAGTGATAGGGTTGCTAAGATACCTAAAGTACAATTCAAATGGTTCATGGTCATACAGTAGGTTTAGAAATGTTTATTAAAAATACTGTGTTAATATTTCGGACATGTTCGTGCATGTGTTTGGTGGGGGCAGGGAAGCGAGGTTAGAACTTGCTTATCTCTGCTAGTAAAATGTCCCCATTTGTAGGCTTGTTAGCCTACACTGTTAACTGCTTGTGTAAGGCTAAAAATTTTCTTCTGGATTAACAGCTGATCCAAAGCCCACTGAAGCCAATGAGACTTTGTATTGAATTATAGTCTTTGAATTATGCCTGTAAAAGGGGCCTATCCTGTGCCCTGTGAAGCCCCTAGTCAATTTCTCATAGACAGCTGGAGTAGAAGGAGCTCAAAATCTTTCCCAGTAAATAGAGTGCAGCAGTATTTTCTTCAAAGGATTTTCTTCCATGGGCAAGCCCCAAGATTGAAGACAGACAATCCTAGCACAAAAACAGAATGGGAGGTTAGGGGTAAGATTAAGGGATTTAAACAACAGCAAAGAAATGCTCTGGAATAGCATGCAGCATCAGCTGGACTGGGGGTAGCCTACTCTCTTGTACCTTTGGTATTTAGCCACAGCTGGAGCAGCAAACATGCCTTTCTCTCAATTCCCAGAGCATTGAGCATGCCTTCTCTTGTTAGCCATTTGCAAGGCTGCTGTAAACCAGGAACAATGTGGAATGGCTTGTGTTTACATTTTTGATGGGAATGAATGTCTGGGATAGGACACACATTCTATGAAGAAACTAGAGTAATGATGAAGCCTTGGTTCTTAAATAGTGGCCATAGGTCTCAATAAGGTCTCCAGCATTAATTATTGTTGTTATCTACATGTAGGTTGCCCAGCTCCCTCTGTTTATTAGTGATGGGAAGTGGCATCATATCTGCGTCACATGGACAACTAGAGATGGCATGTGGGAGGCATTTCAGGATGGAGAGAAACTCGGCACTGGTGAAAATTTAGCCCCTTGGCATCCAGTTAAACCTGGAGGAGTCCTGATTTTGGGTCAGGAGCAGGTGAGTTTAAGAGAAATTGTTGTTTCGTAGGGTAAAAATAACTAGCTCTCTCCCCCTTCTCTAGAAGCAGAAATTAAAGCAAAACCTACTGATCACAAATACAAAGGCAATTTGGAATGCATAGGACTGTTATTGCCCAGGTCTGAAATGCCATTGCTCTTCCTCTGTGTGTCACATCGGAGATGTATGACCAAGCAACAGACTTTGTGGAACTAATAGCTGTTACCTTGCTGTATTTCTCTTATTTAATTCTTGTTACCAGAAGACTTGCCCAGTATTGCCTGGGTCTGGCCCAGGGGGGAGGGGCTGTGCAGGCCTCTCACTGGTTCTCCCTGGGCCCAGCATGGAGGTGAAGGGGGGCTGTCCCAGTAGTGGTGGGGGGGCTGGCCTGAAGCTGGAGGGAGGGGTCATGGAGGCCTCCCACCGGTGCTCCCTGGGCCTGGGCTGTGGCTAGGGAGGAATGCTGTGAAGGCCTCCCCAGCCTGAGGGCAGATACAGGGGCTGAGCAGGCCAGCCCTGGTGGCGCTCCCCAGACCAGCATGGGTAGGGTGGCAGGGAGGTCTGTGCAGGTTTGCTGGCGAGGCCACCTGCATGGCCTAATGGTGTTGGGGGACTGCCTGTGGGTCCTGTGGGGGCACAGGACTGCACTGCCTGCCCCCAGTGGTGCTTGGGTGGGTCCACAGTGGTCTGGTGCTAGGTCTGGCGGGTGGAAGGCTTTGGGGTAGGGGGACCACTTACCTGGGCCAGTGGCCAGCAAGATGGTGAGCCTCATCCATAGCTAGCCACTCCCTTCCTGGTGCGGCTGCCCCCAGTAGTCATGCTGCAGTACAGCTATCCTCCATGTTCGCTGCCCCCAGTGGTGACTGTGCAGTATCGAGTCCTTCCAGCCAGCCCCCTCCCTTTCCATGTTATGGAAAATCCAATTCCAGACACATCCCATTTTCCTACTACACGGAGGAAGTTGCATATCAAAGGTGGTGGTCCTAGATGTTACAATTTAGGAGGAGTTCTCATACAAATGGACTCACAGACAGATGCCTCTAGCACATGTATAATGTATATGGATGATAGACATAATATTTCCTAGTGCAAGTCTTAACTTAATGCTAACAAATGAAGCACTGGTTCTGTTACTTTTGGCAGTGATCTGACTAATGCTTGCATATGAATCCTTTCAAACTGATGGCAGATAGCTAGAGGGATGCTAAACACTCGATGGAAATAGGCTGAATTGGACCAATTATGATGTATCTGAACATAGTGATAAGCAACTGTCTGCAATGGCAGTTGCTGTGCCTCCAATTTGTATCTGGCTCTCTTTAGGAAAGAGTCCAGGGGGTCACTTTCCTTTCCTCCCACCCCCACCATCTTCCCAGCTAGAACATCGGCACTGTTGTGCCCCCTTGGGTTTAGTGCTCCATTGCTGTAAGAGTTGGACTCCTCTAGCTTTCACAGCACAATGGAGAGGCTTGTGGCCTTGTCCAGGGTCCCTTCCTGCCTTGCCCCAGAGACAAACCCACAGAGGTCAGAACACATGCTGTACCTCAGTCAGGGGATAGCATTGGCCACTTTATTCTGTAATTCTCAGAGCTCCCCGCCCATGCTTTTTTGACTAGCTAGATAAATCACCTGATTACTGGCTTGTCAGTGACTTGTTACGAACCAACCCAGCACGAATTGTGATATTGGAATATTGCTGATGGCTTTTACTATGTTTTGGAAATCAGAGGAAGATATCTTGCTATGAAACTTGAAAATAACATTACCTAAGGAATAAATAGAAGGATTTTGTGATCTGCTTATGAATTAAAAAGGAAGTGAGAGTCTGTGAAATTATTGGCTGGAAACAAATTCCTTAGTTCTGTCATTAAAGCAAGTGCAAAGATAATGACTTACACTATTCAGTTTTTAGCTTTGGGAGTAGGAGATGAAAATGCCTGAGAAGTTACTATTAACTGTATGTCAGAAATGGCTGTAATAGTATTTCACTCCAACTTGCCCAGGTTCAAAACTGGACCAATGTGTAATTAATTTTGGTCCAATTCTGTTGCCAGTAGATGTTTGTTCTTGATTATAGCCAGGGGCGGATATAGGGCAGGGCGAATGGGGCAGCCGCCCCGGGCCCCGCGCTTCAGAAAGCCCCGCACATGCGCCGTGGCAAAGGGGGGACCCCGCAGAATTATGCTGCCCGGGGCCCCGCAAAACGGTCATCTGCCCCTGATTATGGCTGCACAGTAGAGGCTCAGGTTCAGAATGAAAGCACTGCCAGAGCTCTGCTGTGAAGCTTTCCTTCTCCCTACTCATACTCTAGTTCCCTCCAATCTGTACAACAGGATGTGTAATCGTGCCAGCTTAGTGTGGCTCTCTGCCTCCTAGTGGCTGGACTGTTTAAGGAGTAAGACAGCTACAGGTTGAACCTCTCTAGTTCAGCACCCTCTGGACGTGACTGATGCCAAACCAGTTAATTTGCTGGACCATGGGACACCAACATTGCCTAACAGCATTATCAATACTTCCACTGCTTACTGTGCTCTTAAAGGGCATTTAGGGGTAAATTAGAGCTAAATAACAGCATACAAAACTAAGAGCCAGGATGAGTGGTTGTAAACAAACTTTATGGGACTGCAAGAAACTTGGCCACACCCATAATAAAATGGACATCCAGTTAACTAAAATCATTCTGGACCATGGATGCTGCCAGACCAGAGAGTGCTGGACTAGAAGTTCAACCTGTATTACCTCCAACAGGATGGCATTAGTCCTTCAACACAGGCAATGGCTGTTGGGCTCTTCTTTAAAATCCAGAGGTTCTGGTTCAATTCCTGCAGATGACTGGTTAGTGGCATGCTTAAAGGAACAAGTACCCTTTATACATACATAGTTATCACTGAAGATAACAAAATCTAGTCTTGGCAAGGATTGCCCAATTAGGCCTTAAATCAACTTTAATTTTCTAAAGGCCAGCATGGGTATGCCTTTACTGCAACAGGCACATAAGAGTAGTCCTTTGCTATTGGAAATGGTATTCACACGCTTGTGATATGAAATACCAGTTCTTTGAGACATGAGTTTCTGAGTGCTTGGAAGAGCAATAATTTGTGAAAGGTTAAACAAAGGCCATTTTGAAATCTTGATGACTAGCATTTTGCATTTGCATTTTACCTATTGTGGGTAGCTTATTTTAAGGAACAGGGAAAACTTGTTCAATTAATTCTATTTTTTTTATGTGTATAAAGGATACGGTTGGAGGAAGATTTGATGCAACCCAAGCCTTTGTTGGGGAGATGAGCCAGTTCAATATATGGGACAGGGTCTTAAAAGCAGAAGACATCGTGAACATTGCCAACTGCTCCACCAACATGCCCGGAAACATCATACCCTGGGTTGATAACAATGTTGATGTGTTTGGAGGTGCAACTAAATGGCCTGTGGAGACATGTGAAGAGCGTTTGCTAGATTTATAGCCAGAAGCATTTTTCTATTTAAGTGCCCCATTTTATTAGGACAATTTCTTGTGTGGTCTGTCACACTTTTTTGCCCACCAAATGAATTGTGTGAAAAAAATCCCAAATGAAAGGTTGGGTGCAAATAAAGCTAATAATTATTGGCATGAATCCTGAAGACGAAAGGCACCTGTTGGCTCAGATAGCAGTTGTTGTCTTAAGGCTGATCCCGAGATACTTATTGAGTTCAATAGACTTTGGATCAGGCCCTTGCTTGGTACATTAATTCTTCTGGGGGAATATCATTTGCAAATATGTTATCTATATCAAGTGGCAGAATTACTCCTCTCTGATAACGTGATACAAACAAAGCACAAAGCTTTTTTTAAAGAGGGAAAATGTACATGTTGGTATTGACTCTTTCCTCCTATATGTATTAAACATTCATTTTACATACTTTTTAAAGAATTGAAGAAATCCTTCTATTATAGTTACCGTGTCTTAACTCAGCACCCCTGAGACCTGCAGTAGTAGCAGCAGCTGAGTAGCCACTATCTGCATTACAGAAGATAATTGCTTTACAGTGTAAACAAGTTAGAATCCTTGTATTGTGTGTCATGATCTAAACACTCTGCTTCCTTCCCTAGACCTGAAGAAGAGCTCTGTGTAGCTCACAAGTCTGTACCTTCTACCTGCAGAAGTTGGTTCATTAACTTGAGGGTACCCCCCTCCCACCATCTTTTCCTGTTTAGATCATGGAAGAGATTATATGATGCAAATGCTATTCCACTCCAAATTCAGAGAAAGGGCTAGATACTCAGCTGATGTAAATCAGCTTAGCTCTGTTGATTTTCATGGAGCTACATCAGTTTATATCAACTGGCATTCTGGCTCCCAGTCTGTATGTATTCCCTTTGTCCCTCCCCACTCTCATGGATAGGTGATGGTTGAATGACTGTACTTGTATTCCATGTAGTATTGCATATTTCTCTCTGAATTCTATCACTCTAGTCTGTTTTTTCTTTTCTAAATACATAGCAAATGTTTCTAAGTGAATTTCAGTTTTGTTTTGCTATGAAAAGCCTTTCTGTGAGCAAGTGCCAAAGTTCAGTTTCTGTTTGCTGAGAATCACTATATATTTTTCCAACCTAAGTCTCTATTGCTGACACTTCCTGTGTTATGATGGTCCTATGTGCTATGACGAATGTGCTTGCTTTCCATTCTTGTTAATTGTCACGACTTCTGTAAGCACTGAGCTGACTTTTAAGAGTATATTTTATTATGCTTTTTTTGGTTTCTCAATACTTTGGAGACAGAGTTGTATTTTCTTGGTATTGGTGACTCTTTGGTTTGTGGCTTGCAGATAGCATATGTAATATATTAGAAAGTAAATACTCTTATTAATTTAAAGAAAAGTGATTTTTAAAAGAGAATTTATAAAATTAAACATCCTATTTTATTTTTAATGTTCTGAATTGTAAGAATCTCTATTGTGACAGTTCCATTTGTTGGATAAAGTTACATATTCCCACTAATATGTAGTATGATGTTCTTAAAGGAAAGTTCTTATAATTTTTAATTAAAAATGCATTGTAAAATCAATTTCCTTTATTTCCTTCATATTCTTACAAAGTACCATCTGCCATTTCACAGTGCTATGATTTTAATTATATGTCTAAAAACATACGAACTGTGCCTCTAAAAAAGTCAGACTTCTCAAATTCTATTTATATACTTCCTTTATTCCAGAATGAATACAAACTACAGCCCCGATCCTGTGCTGACTGAAGTGGCATGTAAAGTCTTTTGTAAAAAGGCATTTTCTTTCATTACTATGGCAGAGGGAGCCAAACCTACCAAGTGTGCATGAGTTTCACATGGGGGGGAAAATACCTCTAAGTATCAATGCTGCCATTCCCTCTTTCTCTCATCTTCTCCATGTTCCCATTAGTGGGTGGGAGGTCTTGTCTAGGTTGTGGGGAGAGGAGTCTTATGATGGCATAAAGTAGTATGTAATTTGCATTGGACTGGGCAACAATCACAGTCTTTCTATGGCTGTACCAGCCCATGCTGCGGCAAGAGTATGAAGGTAGAAGCGAAGGAGGCACTGCAGAGCAGGTCATACAAGATTCAGGGGAAATGACTTTGTCTCAGGACAGGAACAGTGAGAGACAGGACAAATGTGAGTGCTCCTGCTGTTTTATGCAGTAATGGGAGCCCATAGCTACAGATACTCCCAGGGCAAGGGTAGCAGGTGGCAAGTGAGGAGGGAAGAGTGCACTACACCATGTGGTGAGGACAGCGGACTGATCCTGAGGCATACCGGAGCAGTCAACAAAGGCTTCCCTTGTCGACCATGCTGTGTCTAGACTGCCCCGCTGTGCCGGATCAGCTGATCGTCGGCACAGAGCAGCGGCCATGTTTATTTTAATGAAGCGGGGATTATTTAAATCCCCGCTTCTTTGACTATGCTGAATAAACTAATTCACATGGCTCCGTCGACGGAGCCATGTAGTCTAGACATAGCCCTTGTGTGCCCAGTCAGGAGCTTCACTTTTAAATTCCCCTCAGAAAGACTCACACAGACTGAAGTACTAGGAGCAAATTTTACTTACCTGAGAAGGAAGAGTTCAGCATGTTATCTGGTGGCATCCACCAATAGCACCCAGGGCTGTGCGGTCTTCCATGTGAGTCTTAAAACAAGAGGAGTCCTGCCTGATACTTCAACCCTGTCTCCGTCTCCAGTTCCATCAGAAAGAGTCTGACTGCGTGACCTGCTGCAAATGGTTGTAGATTTCAAAACGATCAGTTACATGGGTCAGAACTGGGGTGAAATGATCTGTGCCCCCTGCATACAGTATTCATTGAATTGCTAGGCATACCTTGCAATGAAGACCACGGGGCCTGGCAGCAAGAGGTTAAAGCCCCAGTCCTGGGCCTGTTGTTGAATACTTGCATGGGTCTGGAGGATCCAGATGTTGGCACACCCTTCTGTATAGGAGAACAGCTCAGCCACAGCCCTGCTCTATCCCAGCTATCTCTATATCCCAATTATCAGAGGGGTAGCCGTGTTAGTCTGAATCTGCAAAAGCGACGAGGAGTCCTGTGGCACCTTATAGACTAACTGAAGTGTAGGAGCATAAGCTTTCGTGGGCAAAGACCCACTTCGTCAGATGCATGCATCTGACGAAGTGGGTCTTTGCCCACGAAAGCTTATGCTCCTACACTTCAGTTAGTCTATAAGGTGCCACAGGACTTCTCGTCGCTTCTATATCCCAATGATTCTCAGCTGCCAGAAGTGCGCAGGGCCTGTGGGAGAAGCCTGGAGTGAGAGCAACCCTGAACAAACAGGGTGGCTTGACTCTGGAGTGTGGTCAAGATTCCCTCTGTGATTGTCAAATGAAAGACAGCAGGATATGTAGCTGAGGGGCTTCCATCCTTCCTTCATTCCTTTCCGTATTCAGAAAGGTGCTTTAGCACATGCCTAACTGTAAACATGTGAATAGTCACAGTAGGGTAATTCAGTGGGGCTAGTTATGTGCTTAAAGTTCAGCACATGTGTAAGTAACTTGCTAAACTGGGGCCTAAATCAGGGTGTAAGACAATCATGTGGTCTACGCTATTGATCCTCCCAAGCTCCACCATCCCAAAGCTCGCAGAGTCCCACTGAACAGGACGGACTTCCTTGAGTGTGGGGACAGCTCTACTCCACTGTCTGCCTTTTCCACACTTATGGTTTGATTTTCAGTGGTGTCATAAAACTCCTAACTTCAGTGGGAGTTGGGGAGGATAAGCAGCTCTCAAAAAATCAGGCCATTACTTTGACTCTTTTTTGCACAAGGTCCATCTCAGCTGGGCAGTGGAAGGAAAGAAAAGATTCTAAATCTCCAAAGAAGGAGTTGGAGCTCATCTCCAGTAAGAAATCAAAGAATGAGGGTTTAGCATTTTAAAGGAGATGGCCTAAAACTCAGGTAAGGTGCCTTCAGGGCCAAAACTCTTCCCTCGCATAAATTGACTGCAGTGGAATAACAGTAGGGATGGCTATATTTCTGCTTGTCTAAGATAAACAACTGGTATTCCACTGTGTTTTGACTGATTACATAACTAAAATAGTGTTATTTTATATAACGGTTCTTTTCAGCAATGTCATGACACCCAACGGCATATTATCCATTGAGTGGTTTTACATTGTTTGATACATTTTCCTTTAAATGGGCGCAATGCTACCTAGTTTTATTAAAAGGAAGAAAGTATATTTATTGCATTTTTAAACCTTTTTATTGCATTTAAAAAGGATGGATATTATTCAGCAGCTCCATATTCCTGGGAGTCGCAGATTTTATGTGCATATATAAGCAGATGGCAAAACAGGAGTAAATATTACCATATCCCAGCAACTGTATTGTTTATGGAGTGTGAAAAGTGACACGACAAACTTCATTTCTCAAAAAGCTTTGACTATGTGGAAGTACTGACTTTCGGGCAGCTGAGTGACAGCTCCAGCACTTGGAACATGCAGTAATGCAGACTTCTAAAAAATCTGTTCCTCTTTAAAACCCACAAAGCTAAGACTGGCTGTGAGCAAAGAAATGAAGATTCTACTGAGCCAATCTTCTCCCTTTTATGGCCCCTTAGGGGTTGTAACAGTCCTCAGGTGGTTCCTACACCAACTCCATCCCAGCCATGGAGATGTATGCACCTTGCACCATGGCTGAGATGTCCAAAGGGCCAATAAGGATATGCTGCATACTAGTCAAGACTAGGGAGCATTTTGTTTATGGCTCTTTCCACTTGGTGTGTCTAAAGCAGTGGTCACCAACCAGTAGATCAGGATCTACTGGTAGATCTTGGAGCCTCCAACAGGTGAGCATAACTGGTTTGACCAAGAGTCTATCAAGTGCGCATACTCCATCTGCTCATCTCCTGCCCTTTGATTTGGAGCTGTCCCCTCAGGAGCCTCCTGCTCGCTGTGCAGGGCAGGGCAGGGGAGGGAGAGGAGGGCGCTGATGCCAAGGTGCCCCCTCCCTCTCTGTATCCTATCTCCACAGAGCAGAGAGGGAGCACAACATGACTTGGGAGGGAGTTTGCTGGCTGCTTTGGGAGTGGTGCAGAGCTAGGATAGGGGTGAGCCTGCCTTAGCCCCACTGCACCACCACCCAGGAGCCACCTAAGGTTAGCAGCGCCTAGCTGGAGCCCACATCCCAAAAAAACTACTCCAGTCATGAACCCCCTCCTGTACCCCAAGCCCCTGCCCTAACCCCGGGCACCCCTGCATCCAAATGCCTTCTCAGAGCTTGCACCTAGAACCCCCTCTGGCATCCAATGGCCTGCCTCAAGCTCAGGTCAGAGCTCCCCTCAGCATTAGAGGAGGTGGGGGAGGCAGAGGTAACTTGATACAAAGATTAGTAATTTCTGAAAGAAATATTGGCTTCTACTCACTGTAGAGAGAGCTTCAAAGTTGCTGATTTCCCTAACTGTTAATTAAAAAAAACCTAGAACAAAACGAAATGAACACAGCCCATATTAAATGGATTAAAAACTGACTGATAGGTCTCGTAGGCTGTGTCTGCACATGCATGATCTTGTGCAAATACTCCTTAACGCAAGAGTTCCTGTGTTAAAGTATTTGCACACGAGAGCGTCTACACTGGCATGTGCTTTTGCGCAAGAGCATCTGTGCCAGTGTAGATGCTCTCTTGTGCAAGAAAGCGCCGATGGCCATTTTAGCCATTGGGCTTTCTTGCACAAGAAATTCATGTTGCCTGTCTACACTGGCCTCTTGCGCAAGAACAGTTGCGCAAGAGGGCTGAGCAGGAGCATCATAGTTCTTGCACAAGAAGCACTAATTTCACACATTAGAACATCAGTGTTCTTGCGCAAGAACTCCCTGCCAGTGTAGACAGGCAGCATGTTTTTGCGCTACAGCGGCCGCTTTGGTGCATGATCATGCCAATGTAGACACAGCCAAAGTGTAGTTGTAAATGGAATTGATTCTTGGTCCAATATATTTAATCTTTTTATCACTGACCTGGAAAAAACATAAAATCATCACTGGTAAAGTTTGCAGATAGCCCGAAAATTGGATGAGTGTTAAGGACAAAGAGGGCATGTCACTGCTTCAGAACTACATGAATCACTTGGTAAACTGGATGCAAGCAAGCAATTTGTGTTTTAGTATGGCTACATGTAAACTTATACATCTAGGCTGTGTGGGGGTTGTTGGCCAAAAGTCAACATGGTTTCTGTAAAGGGAAATCACATCTTACTAATCTATTAGGCGGTGTCTACATTGGCACCCCTTTCCAGAAAAGGGATGCTAATGTAGACTTTAGAATAGGCAAATCCGTGGGGGATTTAAATATCCCCCGCGGCATTTGCATTAACATGGCTGCCGCTTTTTTCCGGCTTGGGGATAAGCCGGAGAAAAGCACCAGTCTAGACGTTATTCTCTGGAAAATAAAGCCTACTTGAAAGTAGGAATAAGAAATCCTTCGGAAAAGGCTTTATTTTCCAGAATATTTAAATCCCCCGCGGATTTGCCTATCCCAACGTGCTACATTAGCA